CTTGTGTACTCCCTGTGTCTTTAGCTGTCTTCGTCATTCTTCTGCCAGCCTTCCTCTTATATATTACCTTTCCCCTTCCTGTGTATTGCCCTCTCAGTCAACCGGAGGTAACATGTGTCTGCCTTCTAGCCAGTGAACTACACTCACTTCTTTCCCACCCCTGGCAACCATCAAAGAATGTTTGTCTCTTTCAAACTCATGTATTTGTGGGATGTGGTGGTGGTGGTTAAGTGCCGTGGAGTCGGTTCCGACTCATAGCGACCCTGTACAGGGTTTCCGAGGCTTTAAATCTGTATGTGGGGCAGAAAGCCTCATCTTTCTCCCGTGGAACAGCTGGTAGTTTTGAACTGCTGACCTTGCGGTTCGCAGCCTGGATATATCCTACTCTTCCTCCCTTTCCCGTTCAGCCTATGTCACAATCCATGTATCTACACACAAAACACTGCTGTTCCAGGGTTGTGTATATATCACTATTTACATCTATCCCCCTTCAGCCCTTGTATATCTTCGTTATTCTTCTGCTCGTGTCTTCACCTATCTTCATTATTCTTCCACCACCCTCCCTCTTCTTGTATGTTGCCTTCCCTCTTCTTGTACATTGCCCTCCTTTTCACCGGCGCTAACTTGTCTACCTTCTAGCCAGTGAATTATTCTCCCCTTCCTCTCAGTTCTGGAAACCATTAAAGAATGTTTCTTTTAGTATGTAACCCTTTTCTTAAGTCTTTAAAATGATGGTCTCATACAATATTTTGCATTTTGTGATTGACTAATTTCACTCATATCATCAGTCAAAACAACAATGCCAGGGGCAGACTGTGGAACAGGCCATCTGTTGCTCTTATGCAAATTAAAACTGAAGCAGAAGAAAATGAAAACAAGTCCACGAGAGCCAAAATATGACCTTGAATATATCCCCCCTGAATTTAGAGATCATCCGCAGAACAGATTTGATACGTTAAACATTAAAGACTGAAGACCAAAAGAGTTGTGGGATGACATCAAGACCATCATACAGGGAGAAAACAAAAAGTCATTAAGAAGACAAAACAGAAA